ACGGAAGGGAAGATTTATGGCGACAATAACGTCGAAAGGGTGTTCAGGTTCATCTTTGTTCTCTTGCGGTCTTCGTCTCGACTCGTGAAACTTTATTACCGCGGGGTGATGATTTGCAAAATAAGCCCTTCTGTTCGTTTGACTTTCGCCAGCTTCCCAAACTTGGCCAGCTTTATCAAGTGTATGAATTAAATTGCCGTTTTATTACCCGTGGGGGAGCGCAGTGGAGGGCCACAACCACCCCCTTTCCTTCTCCCTTTTTCCCAAGGGAGCAACATTATTCAACGTTAAACTTTCTAAACTCTAAAAATATCTTCGGTGTTTGCTCGAAGGAATTTATTATTCGTTCGTAAATAAGGGAAATAAGCTTTGAAATAACATTGATTATCGAGGAAATAATAATTGAACGGAAATTGGATTTCTAAATTAAAAAATTAAAAATCTCTTTTTTAATTATAAAATCATTAGAAGCAGGATATTTTCGAGATATTTTTTGCTCGTAAGAAAATGCGACGAGAAACACAGCAGGAATTCCTTGGTCGGAATATTTATCCTGCATCGACGACTTCCGCAAACGCGACACGATTTCCGCATTATACCGTGTACGTAACGGCGACTGTTACGAATCGCTACTTTAAAACCCCCTTAGTTAGATTCTAAACACACCCTTTACATATCGTGTGGGTGGGTTTGCGGGGTTTAAGGGGTTGGTGACACGAGGGGGATTTCGACTGATCGATTGTGTCGGTATACGTTTCTCGGACCCCGAAACTTTTTACGTTTCGAGTTCTCCGAAAAATCTGCGAAAATTTAAGCTTCCTCACCCTCCCCTAACCATCGAGGCAAAGAATCGACGATAACGAACGACGTTCCTTCCCTGAAAATACGTTGCACTCGAAGCAAGTTTCGTTGTTGCGACGACGTTGATATCGTATTTATCGAGGCCTTCGTTCTCTTCGTTCACGTCGTGCAAACAAACACGCTTTCAAGCCTCTCTCGAATGTTTGCCCGGTCCCTGTTTATCGTTGAATTATAGACAAGGCTTGTTTCACGTAGGCATCCCTCGCTCGACATACTTAATCGCCCTATTTCGCACGCACACCACCGGCCCTACGTTAAAAAGAAGGCGGTCGGTGAATGAAGGAAGATGGCGTCGATCATCAGAGGCCAGGGCTAAATTTGAAAAACTCTCTCTCTCTTTCTCTCTCTCTCTCTCTCTTCTTCTTTCACCCTTTTACTTAGCGTGGCGCGGGATCTCGCGTGCCTCTTCGTCCTCCTCCTCCTTCTCCTCCTCGTCTTCGTCGCCTTCGTCGAGGAGGAGTTCTCTTTTCTCTTCGTCTATCTTTCAGCACAGCGAAACCCACGGCAATCACGGTGGCTGCAATTTTTATGAAGTCCTCGTCGGGTCTTCGAGTTCTTGAATAATTCAGGGTCAAGCGGCGTGGGCGAAAATGGCGCCTGCGCCGTCGGCTTTTCGGGTAATACGCGCCGAATTTTTTGGCCAAGCACCGGTGAAAAACTCGGCCCGCCCGTGCGCGCCACTTGTGCGATGCTTGAACGGTCTACCACTTTAATAATTTCGTGGTACGTCGAGTAGTTGCGAGGTGGAAATAAAATAGGGAACCACCCGGACGTCGTCGTTGCTGCGCCGAAAAATTTGTTTCCCCTTTTCCTTATTCTCTTATTCTCTCTCTCTCTCTCTCTCTTTTTTCCCCAACCCTTTCCGCCTAGCCTCAAAAAGAATACGTTGTTCGCTAATATTTTCCGGGCGAATCGAGAAAAAAGGGGGAGGGGAGGAGAAGAGAAGTTTCGACAAGTCGGTCGAAGCGACATTATATAACAAACGCTTCTAACGCTCGTTGAAAAATAATTATCTCTGAAGGATCGTCGGATTTTTCTGCTCGTTTTCCGCCATTGTTTCGTACAACAGGTTGAATTAATCGTTTGAATTAATTGTTTAAATAACCGGAGATCAGAGGCACGGGTCGGAGTTGAATAAACGAAAGAAACGAATTTTATTCCCGTATTTCGATGATAAAATCGCGAAACGAGTTCCTCACTTTTTTTCGTTCCACCACTTTTTTTTTTCTTTTCCTAGTTTCGTTGTAATTAATTATTATGTTAATTGATAATCACGGAAGTGAGAAAGTTAAAACGGAGACAAACGGATTATCGAATGGTAAGAAGATTATCCGTGAAAGAACGAGAAAAATATCAGGCAATTCAAATCATTCAAGTCAATATATCAACAATATGATAGATATTTATAGGCGAAGGGATATAATCCTTTTTTACCTATAACCGTAATTCTAACTTTATAGAATGGCAATTAATAATGTTCGAATCGACTTGTAGGCAGGTGTAAATCGTTTATCTATTCCTTCCATTTTGTTCATTGTTTTCTTTATACCTGACCTCTAACTAAAATAAACTGACAAATTTTATTACTCACTGCAACGATTGACGACCATTCCGGTTTATTGCAGGTAATAGAATCACCTCTTTAACGCGGGAAAGAATATCGTTTTTACGATAAGTCATCGTAACGATTATGGTAGTTATAGATCACTTAATCGTGTCGTATTTCGTCTACAACTAACCACTAAATTTCTATCTTTAATTACCGTCTACCATCGCAAAATATTCTACAATATTTAAATAATTTTTCTATCTTTTTTCCTTAAAATCCTTCCAGTCAATATGATTTATTACTTTATTACTCTCCCTTTATTTCCATACTTTAAACATCTGGGAACAATTACACGAATACGATATTTGGTAAATAATTTATCAAAAAATTCATAGAATCCGTCCAAATAGGAAATTTCCATTGGTAATAGGAGAATCAAGATGGAAAGGGGTCAGAGGACACAGCGAGGAAGAAGCAAGGGTGTCACGATGACGATGCGAGCCTTCAGATAGGAAAAGATAAATGAAAATCGAGTCCTGCGAGAAAAACCGATTGATCCTTGACGAGGAGGGAGAAAGAGAAAGAGAAGAGACGGGGAGAAATTCGTGCAAAGGTCGTCGTAGGTGAGGCATCGAGGTTGCTTCGTGGACATCGATCAGGGAAACGTCGTAAGGACGGACGTCCCTTCGTCCTGCGGAGGGGTTGATGGATGCGAGATTACAGCGGCGGGGACACTCGTTGACACCCCATGATGTATCACCCCGCAGCTTCCAGCTAGTAGCTCGGCTACTTACCACCACCGGGAATGGGTTTGCTGGAAAACGAAAAAAAAAAAAAA